GACTACTACAGAGAGAGAGTTGTGACTTGAGACTTGACAACATTGGATCCAGACTCGAGATTTGGGATTCAGACATTTCGACGAGGGGCTATTTGGGCCTGTGCTGAACACTTGGTGTTGACGACATTCCCATCTGCCCCCTCTTCTTCGTCTAACCCCCATCTCCTTCGTCTGTGTATGTTAGGGGCTGGCGCAGTCTTCCTGTGTGAAGCGCCAGACCCCATTCACACTATGTAACGATGATGATGATGTATGTTCAGGGCTGCATTGCAATATTGATTGTTCGGATCATTGGTATCTAAGTCTTCCGCTGTGCTATCTTATACTTTGTATTGAGAGGTCGGTTCTTGTTCTGGTCTGCACCGTTACAGTATGCAACACTCGTCAGTGGTCGAGGGTTCAGCCTCCTGGTGAGTCGGTGAAACTCTGACAAAGCAGTTGTCAATCATTTCTGATAGATTTGTTCCATCTCAACCGTTTAGAAAAAAAATCAATATCGTAGATTGAATGTTATAAAAGATATGTAGCCACCCTGTGTTTTTATCTTATCGGAATGAATACTGCTCTGAGACAATGTGTATGAGTTTGTCCAGTCCAGTTATCAAAGCTGCTGGTTTGCAATTCTCTTCTGACGGTCAGACACCAAAAACTGTAATTGCTCATCTTGTTTTCTGAAATGATCATGAGCATAGGTCACTGTTGAGTTGAACTCTACAAGTAAATGCAAGGTTAAATCCATGGTTGCCCCGGACTCGGACATCCAGACACCAGACATCGAGCCGGACCCGTGTCTGGATTCATCCGGATGTCTGGTAATCCGGACACCGATCTGGTCAACAGGACATACGGACCTGGGCGGTCCGGTTGCAGGTGAGCAAGTCCTGATGTCCTGATTAAAGTAATATAATAAAAGAAACTTAAGAAAAAAGAGAAAGAAAAGAAAAGTAAAGAAAGAAGAAGGCAGACACACACTGCTGCAGTTGTGTGATCCAACTCATTCCTCTTCTCTTTGTATTTGTTCGTTAAACTTGTCTGTGATTTTCAACTTATCCTATTCTCTCTGTATCTGTTTGTTAAGCTTGTCTGTGTTGCCCAACTTTTCTTTGAAAATTTCAAACTTCTTTTATTGCTGTTCTGTTCCTTTCCCCTCCCCCCCCCCGGCCCTTCGTAGAATTGGACTGCTGCAGTGAAACAACTACAGGTGCCAGCAGCACTGCTACTGCAGTTTTGCAGCTGCTGTTGCTGCGGAATTTTGCAGTTGGTGTTACTCTGCACACACACACACACACACGGCATCACACGGCATCACACACACACACACACACACATACACACACACGCACACACGCGCGCGCGCGCGCGCGCGAGTGTGTAGTTTGAGATGAATGTGGGGAATGCCAATGCTGTTATATTTGTTTGTTTTTGGTAAAAGAGTTTTGGTTTTGTGGGCCGATGCGGAAGGCTCTCCCAAGTTTTTTCGGACCTTTGGGGCGGTCAGGTCGGTGCCTTCTTGCTGGAGTATTCTGTCTTAGGTAAGTTGCCGTCTGCCCTCCATCCCCTTATGGTTTGAAATATCTATGTATACAATATACATATGTATTATGTATATGTGCAAGTGTTCCGCTTTGGCGGCAGACGGGTGTGTGGGCACTTGGCGCTCAACCACACAAACGTGGCCAACCTCACATTTTCTATCATATTGCCTATCTATACTTTTTCATTATGGATGGCTTGTGATGATTTGTGAAGGGAATGAGAGAGAGAATCTGGGGTCCTTTGAAACAACACACACACCCACACACACACCCACCCACACACACACACACACACACACACACACACACACACACGCACACACACGCAGGTTTGCACAAATACATTTCAAAATTCAAATAGACAAATAGTCGTACTGCCCGCTGCACTTTCTCAAGGTGGCAAGTACAAACCCTTGAGGGCCGGTCCGCTTGGCCCAACGGTCCACCCAAAACTGTGACAACAATTTTTGGGGGTCCCAGGCACTGGAAAATTGCCTGGGGACCCCAAAATGTTTTTTCGAATTTCTTCAAAACGGCCCCCAACCGGACCCTCCAATCCGGACACCGGACCTGGACACTGGACCCGGACTGTCTGGATTCGGATCCAGACGTCTGGAAGACAACCATGGTTAAATCTTTGGAAGAAACTAATGCAATGTTAAATCCTTGGAAGAAGTGCTTGATTGGGACATCCTTGCCTCCCCCCCAACAAAAAAAAAGGTTGTGTGTGCAGCAATGCACCACCCATCGGAAATGAGCTTCGGTGTTGCAAGCAGGGCCTAAGACTGTAAAAGGGTCGCAGACAGAAAAAAAATTCCCACTCAATGAAACCTCGGGGAAACAGGGAGGGAAGGTCCACACTTCTGTCTTGTGCTGGTACTTTTCATGTACTACAAAGTGGACATAAATTCCTCAAGACGTGTTTTGTAATGGGGTCTTGTTGTAAAGGAAGATGGAAAGAACTGCCTGAATGTTTTGCCAGCCATGAGGACAAACTCAGAGCATACTCACACTACACTGTCGTGGGTGCATCTGACCCAAGTTCGGCCGGACTCAGTTGGACTGCTGGTGTATATCCTGGGATTGGCAAGCTGATGGTCTCGTTTCGTTCACTGGACTGTGAAGTCAGCAAGCAGACTGACTCCAGGAGTGATGTTTCTTGTTGTGTGTTTGGACGTGTCATTTTAGACTGGTTGTATCAAGCCAGCTCAGCCACAGGATCATGGTGATCAACAGATGTCAGTCTTCTTGTCTAATGGGCTGCTGGGTGGTGTAAGTGCTAATGCCAGTCTCCAAGGAGGATGCCGTGGGATGAGTGGTTTTGGACCTCAGCCTCAGCAGGGAGGGCCTCGTGGCTGTGGAAACGCCATTGCTGACATGATGGGAGATGGAGGGAAACTGCGGTTAGCTCAGGTTTTGCTGGAGAGGGCAAGAATGGCTGCAGAGGATGTCTGGGCTTCGGTGGGCATGTTGCAGGTGATGCAAAGGGATGCACTTGGGGGCCGTCATATAGCAGGTGAAGCAGCGTATGAGCAGCAGCCGGGGGAAGGTCGTGTAATGGGAGGAGGAAGCACTTCACTGTTGAGCACAGCAGGGCTTGATAGGGCAGCGATGGGCTTCCTTGACAAGTCTTCCAAACAGGAAGGTAGCCGTAACACGTGTGGTGATTTGAAGTCAAAAGTTATTGGTGGTGGACCAACAGGCACCAATGCCTCCCCGATGCGCACATACGATGACAGTATAGGTGCCCAGGTGTATGACCACCGGCCAGGAGGCGAATGTCCTGCCGCAGAGAACCAGGCGAAGAGCAAGGGCGGCGATCGCACGAGGACAGTGTCATCTACTGGAGAGGACATACAAGAGATGCTCGACAAAAAGTTTGGCGAGTTTTATAACATATGTGAGGAATTCCATTCTGAGATGTTGACGCTATGGAGATCACAGAAGGTGGAAAATAAAGCCTTAGATGCGGAGTCTGGCCAGAGGAAGAAGAAACCGACCAAAATCACAAGGAAGAGGGCGTTGGGATCCCTTCCTGAAGGTCATACGGTGGATGAGGTCATGAAGGCCGTGATCAACCAGAGAAAGGAGATGGCAGAATTGAGAGATCAGGTATGGTCTGATGTTCTCCCGGGACTTGAATTCCATCCTTCCATCCCACAATTCTTGCATGCAAAGCTAAAATGTCCATCATCACATGACACATGGGATGTCTTGATTGTCTCGTAAACAAAATTTGCGAGCCGCACCAATAACCACTCCTGTGCAGAAAAGGATTTTCAAAGGGTGAAAAGAAAGAAAAGTCCTGTGAACTGACATTTCGTTAAAACTGACGTTTTTTTCTAGATTCACGAAATTGAGCGTACGAAAAAGAACAGTATTTTTTTTGCGCTTTTTTTGTCCCCATGACATTGGACTATCTGATGGTCGGGCGTTGTGACGAAGCCCGATGATTGGACCCTCGGATGTATTTTGACGGTACTTTATGTTGAGAATCTTGAGTTACATCGGATGGTCAAAGTGAGATAACCACCTTCTCACCTAATGAGCAATGAAATTTTGACTGAGTCCACTTTCGTGAATTTAGAAAAAAATGTCAGTTTTAAGGAAATGTCAGTTTGTGCGTGTCGTAGCGTGCAGGTTGCGCTGTCCTTGCAACATGGATGACCTGAAACGGGTGGAACATGCTGTATACAATGCAGGATGCAGCACACTATCAAAGTCCAATGCAGCGTTTGAGTTCGTAGCAGTTGGTACTCCTTAGACTGGTCATGGTATGGATTGTTACGTCAGGAAATCGCTCCGTTGCTGGAGGCACTTGTGAAATCCGTATGTTTCTCTACAGTGACGGAGGGAGCGCACAGATGTGACTGGCATAGCGTTCTGCAACATAATTATGGTTGGTTTTGTCAAGTTTTTTGTAGCGAAAGGTCTAATGTGGCAAACTTCACATGCAACCGCAGAAATAGAGGCCAGTGATGCGGGCCTTATCGTAAACATTTTTTCCCCAATTCGGCTGAAACAACTGCTGCTCGCTGTTTCAGCAAAGATGGTTACTCATGCTGGCGCGGGCTGAACTTTGCTGGAGGTTATTTCACTTTCATTTTAATTTGTTTGTTAAGTAATCTGCGAGGCTCCAGGCCTCGGTGGCGCCCAGCAGGGGCTGTCTGTGCCACAAAGGGACCCTTGCAAATCCTCCTTGTTGGTGGAAGGTCACGAGTTCAATTCCTACCATAGTGGTTATAATGTTTTACTATGGATGATGCCATGGTTCAACCTCCAACCTGATGCTGAGCTCTGATGCTGAGCTTGTTCCAAAGGAGGAGGGGGAACATCATATAACTGTGAAGGAGGGTGGACATCCTCCTACACTGTCCATTCTCCTTCATGTACATCTTGTCATCGGTATCGCCCGAGATTGGTGCTTCCCGGACGTCAGCAATGGGGTGCGCCACCCTCGAACTCAGGTTCCGGGGTCCCCGAGGCACCTGGCCGGGATGCCATCGGGCACGCTGTTGCCCGCTACCAAGGGAAGTGATGGTAGCTAGGAGAGCAGTGAACCC